CAAGCTATTGTCCACATTAGCAGGAAGTATATTTATCTCTCCAAGGCAAGATTGGCATTGTGCATCTTTCAAAAGGACTTTGTAGCAGTGCTGTTTTCAGCGTATCCAGGTAACGGTTGCATGTGAGCGCGACACGCTTTAGTGGTCAGGGTGTCTGTTGCTTCCCCCTCCCCAAGTCATAGACATCGGCTGAGCTGACCTGACATCAGGGCCCACACAGAACTGATGAGTCAGTGATGAGTCGGTGATCCCCAGGTGAGCAGATCCCTGGAGCGATTCACAGGGTCGCATGGGGAACAGCCCGGCACCCTGTCACCGCGGTGACCGTCCCTGCCTTTACCCAGGGACTCCTTCATCCTACTGCGCTCATCCTAACCATTATTTTATTTAGTACGGTCCTCTTCTTGAATACGCAAGTCTTTCTTATGCCATGTATATTTGATATTGAAACCCACAGCTGGGATGGGGGTGGGGGGGGGGGGGTGTATGTACATCTTACTGAACGATTTGAGGGTTTGCAAAAATGCTGGAGAATAATGTGGAAAGATGATGTTCCCTCCCGCAGCTGGGGACTCACAGTGAAGGCAGCAAGCAGGGAGGGGCCATCGTCCCGGGCCCCTGCAGCTGGGGACTCACAGTGAAGGCAGCGAGCAGGGAGGGGTCATCGTCCCGGGCCCCTGCAGCTGGGGACTCACAGTGAAGGCAGCCTGCACGGAGGGGCCACCTTCTTGGGCCCCCACAACTGAGATCATGGAAACTGAGATGGGGAAATGGGCAGAGACGGGACAGGGGAGCCCCCTGCAGTCTGGCACTGCCCAGGACCAGTAACACTAGGGCGTGGGGTGTCATGGGCAGCAGATAGATACTGTTCTGTAAGCAGCATTTTAAGGAGCAGCTATATCATTTTAATGTGACTGATCTGTACAAATATTGTAAGGAAATGAGTCGCAGTTAGAGAAAAGAACTTCAGTATAGACTTTCTATAGCGTAGTACAGTCAGTCCCTGGATAAGAGTTAATATGCACCGATCTCTAAAGGGTAAATCACAAAACCTGCATCTGTAAGGCCCTGTAAGCTCACGCAGGTGCATGTGGAGGGCAGCACACGGCCTCGTGGCCATAGCGCTGTCACAGCCCCCACGCTAACACCGGGGGTGTTTAACCCTGCGTGGTGCTGAATGCCTGTCATGTTGTGACTATTACACTGTTCCCACAACAACCGGCATATTGAATGGAGTCGGACACTGCATCCATGGGCGACTGTCATTCATGTGCCTCAGAGGAGCGACAGATCAGGGTTTGTCAGGTGATCAGTGGAAATCTGTCTGCTGTCTTTTGAAAGGCATTTGAGGCGTGCATTTTGCTTAGTGGGTTTTATAACCTTGTTTTCTGTATTCAGTCACAGTGACCTGCTGACAAGTTAAGCTAGTGGTCAAGTAGTGCTCCCGGTAAAGTTGTTGGTGGTTAGTTTTCTTTTTTCAGAAAGGAGTGTAACCCGGCCAGTTTGCCACTAAAATGAACGTAATCTGGTTAAATCAGTTAGACTCAGACTCACATGGGTGATAAGTGAACATCTCCAAAAGTAAAAATAAAAATAAAATAAATAAATTATCACCTTAATTTACAATATTAAAGGTTTTACAAAATATTTTTCTCTGGCCGATTACTTGCGGCCCCAGGTTTCCACAGACGCTTCCCCCCCTCACTGCACAGAGGAGAAGCTGTATGACATCATGGCCGTCTCCTCATCGCCGGCCGCCACCGTGCCCAATTCTGTCATTTGTTATTTCCCGCAGCTCTAATGCTGCATTACAAACGGAAGCAGTAGTGGAATAGTTGGCAGACGCGGTAATTATAAATGTGAAAGGGATAGATGTTCTTGCCGGTGCCTTTAGCTGCTCCGTTTTGGGAGGAAGCAGCGATTTAATCGCACAGTGCTGATGGTATCTCTCACCCACTATCTAATGACGTGTCTGCCGTGTCTGTCGAGTTTTATCAAGCTCTTAAGGTTGAATTATTTTGGTTCACTGCTAAGTAGGGCTGGACATCGTTAAAACAATTTCAATACCAGTACCAGAACGATACCTTGATTTCAATACCAGTACCAGAACGATACCTTGATTTCAATACCAGTACCAGAACGATACCTTGATTTCAATACCAGTACCAGAACGATACTTTTCTCAGTCTTCTATCTATATTTTACTTGTTTGACTCGCTACATGTTTATAATTCATAAATTAATCTGTCCAGCAGATCGATCTTTCTTTCATTTTTCCCAGAATAAAACACGATGTAACGTTTTTCCACTAATAAGCGCTGGCACGTTTCACTGCTGGCACCGTAAGTGGATGGAGATGCAAGCAAAAAGCTATTCAGTCTTATTATTGAGGTACAAAAATAGTTCCATCTGCTCCATCGTTTTTTCTGCACCTCCACGTAACATCCGTGTTAGCGCCAGTGTTTGTGGTGAAGCAGAGTCCGCACGATTATCTCCGCAAGACATCAAGATTAAGCCCCTCCTTAGTAGTGTCTCTGAGGAACTGCAATTGAACCACGTTCCGATGATCTTGCCCACACACACATGCATACACATAAACATCAACTCTCGCTCTCTCTGGGTGTTTTAGGTGATATAAGATGATGTATTGATATATTTGCCACTGTATGCGGGGTGTATTTGCAAAGTCACATTGGTGCGCCAAGTTGCGAAAGTTATAAAATTGTCACAAAATTTTGTCACAAAATGACTAAATGGTCGCACTCTGGAACCCTGTGGAGCCACACTATTGATTTCGTAGGCTTTTTTTTTTTTTTTACACTATGCGACAAACATAAACAACCGCACACACATGAGCCAGTTCACATTTTTCCTTCCGACCTCTATAACGTATTTGTGTAAAGTTACACTAGACAGCTAATCACCAGTGACTTGACATAAGTATGATCTTTACACAAGTGTGCTGCAGGTTTCAGACGCTGAGATTAACTGCTTGGGCATCAGAATTCGCTACCACAGCACCAAAGTTTGGTGCCCAGTCCTGCTGCTGAGATTTTTATTTTTGCCTGGGTTTTGCAGTTGTTAGAATGCAGCAGAAAAGGATTGGCATCCCTTCAGTAGAGGAGGGAAAGTGCACGGCCCCCCGGGCTGAACAATAGTAATAAACGGCATCTAGTAAACATGGTAGAGTGCACTTGTGTGTCTGCCTAGCCTTTGTCACTCGGCTGGGGGAGAGCCTCTACCCACTGTGAGGTGAGGAATAAGCATGTGGGGCATGATCAGACATTGTCCGTCCCGGAACTGTCATTCTTCTCTCACTCTAGGGGCGAGGGGGCTGTTTTGGTTGTCTGGACAGTGGTTTTTATGTGCCAAATGAAGTTGCAGTGTTATGAAGTCCCTCACACTGTAAATGTGTCTAGGCTGACTGGAGGATCCTTTCCTCTTCAGTTGGCATGCTGTCGCTCTTCTTTTGGTGGCACAGAAGCGAATAAATCACCCCACATCCATGTCCTCACCTCTGCACTCTTCCCAGACTAATGGACCAGCTCATTTCTGAATTTTACGCTACTCTGAATTAAGATTCCTTTCAGTTCACGTAAAGTACATGTTGGGGTGGGCCGACTGGCACCCTGTTCCCTTGACGAGGGATTTGTCACTCACCCTTTTCTTTGACCCGGGAATAGATGCTTTTGTGCTTGTGTGTAACTGGGGTCTGGACCTGTAGTGTCCACGCTTTCAGCACAGGGCACTGCCTGGCTTTGCTGGTCCTCAGCACATCCTGTTTGCTAAAAGCTGCTCAACCCTCTTAGCATGTAAATAAAATAAATAATGACTTCTCTTCGTCAACCTCATCTCGCTCTCCATAGCTCAGGGGTCAGAACACAGGGTCAGCCAAGCGGCGACAACCCTAGAGCTGGGGGTTAAGGGTCCTTCCTCAAGGTTCCATGGGCATGTGACTGTTCTCCCAAGGCCGGCCCTCAAACTGGCGATCTACTGACCACAGGCACAGACTTGGCCCACTGGGCCACTCACCACGCCCACGTTTAATCTCATCGCTGACTGTCAGTCTTCCTCCTCCTGCCCTACCTATAATCTTCTCCTGGGTTTATTTGTTCACGGCCTGTTTCCATGGTGCCCCCCCCCCCCGAATAGCAGCTGTGAGGCTTCCTCTCCGCGTGGAGCCCGTTCTGCCTGGTCGAAGCGGCTTTAGCTGTGGGTCGGCTTGGCCCTGCCCCTGTCCAGGGATGCCGGGGCCCTTTGCTTCCCAGTTTCCACCGTGGCCCTCAATGCAGTAGTGAGGCATGAGTCATGGCGGGGAGGTTCGCCTGAGATCCTGCCAATGTTTACTTCTGGGCCGACCCACAGCACCGCTCTGCGGTGCAGCGTGACGACGCGGGACGGGAGGGGCCCCCTGGCCACCGGCAGCGCCCAGCCTGCAGCAGTTTGTTTACTCTCGGCATGCCTACAGATGACTGTGAGGTTTGACGACTTCCCTGGCAGGCTGGGGTTACACTCAGGCGGGCAGCCCAAGGGGAATCACCGGTTTAGTGCTCTTAGCTCTGCTGCTGCACCCTGCTTCACGTCAGGGCTGACCCATGTCCAAAAAGATACTAGGCCTTGCATGTACTACAGAATTCACACAGAAGGATCTCACTTGCTAGAAATTAAACCCTTAGATCATGTTTCTAAATTTCACCCGGATTATGAAGCTTATCCAGTGAGGTCAGCTGTGACTGCGAAGTGCCAGTCCATCATTCCCAGATCGATGTTTTTTCTGCTTGTAAAGATTCATTTGTGAGGGCTGGTTGTTTTTCTTTACTTTCAGCACATCCAAACATGTAAGCATGTTGAGCAATTTCCTCCGGGATAAATAAAGTTTTTCTGATTCTGATTCTGATTCTGTAAGCAGCTCCCCGATCCTTACCTTCATCAGCCCATATTTTTCCCTTATTTGCTCACTTTTTCTTTTCCCCCTCTCCTTTTTTTTGTCCCTCCTGCAGGCATTTGGAAACGCGAAGACGGCTCACAATAACAACTCGAGCCGCTTCGGCAAGTTCATCCAAGTGAATTACCAGGAGAGCGGCACCGTTGGCGGGTAATGGCGGCCTGCCGGACTCCTGCTCAGCCATCACCGTGTGGCCGTCACCGCGTAGCCGTCACCTGGCTGGCTGCGGCTCGCCCGTGAAACCGCAATCTGCTTGACGTCTGATAACAGGCTGTTCCTGGCTTCCTGATAAAACTAGCTCAGCTGGTTAATGTAGCTAAAGTTCAAATAGTCCTTACTTTGCTCTCCTGACTCAGGCTATCTTTAATTTATGATAGGAATGTGTAGGTAGTGAAAGAAGCTCTGCAATCCTCTGATTCACGAAACTATAGTCATTTCGCAACTCATTTGGCTCCCATTCCTCTCTCCTGTTTACATATAGAAGAATGTTAGAGAGATTGCCTTGAATTACTGGACCTATTTGCTAGAGGTGTAACGATACGCGTATTCGTATTGAACCATTCGGTACGAGGCTTTCGGTTCGGTACGCATTACAAACCGAACGATTCAGAAAAATACTTTTATATTTGAAAAAAATTAAAGAGAATAAAGTGTGTAAAATATGTTTTCAGTGCTACTACGCTCAACAAGGCAGCCCAAACGACGTGCTGACTGCCCCTCTCACCCCCAAACACTACTCCAGTCAGTCAGGCATTTGCTGCACTAGCTCGTTGCAAAATGGCTAGTAACGTTAATGCAATTATCAGACCAGAAATACAGGATCCTCCTGTAACCAACAGGTCTGGAGTTTGAGAGCACTTTGGTTTCCCTGTAAGTTATGAGGGTGATGGCAAGAGAGTGGTGGATTAAAAAAACAACGGTATGTCGCATCTGCTACACGACCGTAAGCTACATCAGCGGCAATACTTCAAACATGTCAACTCATTTACGCCGACATCACCCCAGCGTGTCAATAACTGGAACTAGACGAAGACTAGAAACACACACACACGACAAACTATCCCCATGGCATTCAGACAGGCACTTCCTTCAGATTCGAACAGGGCAAAACAAATCACCGAGGTGATCGGTACATTTATAGCCGCAGATATGAGACCTTACTCGGTAGTGGAAAATACGGGTTTTAAGAAAATGCTAAGTGTAATTGAGCCCCGTTACATTATTCCTTCACGAGCCCATTTCAGCCAGACAATAATTCCTGCTTTGTACAGAAAAACAAAAGTCCAAATAGAGAACCAGTTGGCCGAAGCACCAGTGATTGCTTTGACAACAGACAGCTGGACGTCAAGGGCTACACAAAGCTACCTGACTGTAACGGCACATTACATTAACGCTGAATGGGAGATGAAAAGCCAATAAAAAATAATAATAAAAAAATAATAAAAAAAAGAAAAGCCATGTTCTTCAGACACACCCCCTTGAGAGTCACACGAGTGAGGATCTGGCCAACGGGATGACAGAAGCAGTGGAACAGGAAAAAAAACTTAAAAATTGATTGAAACTGAGTTCCATATAAAAACAAAATTGTTCTTTTCTTTCTATTAGTTTATAACTACTACAATATTACATTACTTTTTTTTATCAGGAGCTTTTTGGTTTTGGTTATAAAGGAGGTTTTGTTTTATTTGCTGCTAAAAAGAAACGTCAGAAGATGGGTGAAGAATAGCTTCATCATTGTTTAAAGTAAAAGAAAAAAACAAGATCATACTTTTTTGATGTTTTAATAAATAAAAAAGTGAAAAAAAATCAAAGAAATTATCTGGCATTTCTTTTTATTTTTGCTGTGTCGAAAACATACCGAACCGTGACACCAGTGTGTCGCATCGAACCGAACCGTGATTTTTGTGAACCATTACACTCCTACTATTTGCTAATTCTTGATCTCATCACTTTTTTCTGCTTTGTAGAGCTTATGTGGAGAAGTACCTTCTAGAAAAGTCCAGGCTGGTTTACCAGGAGCACAATGAAAGGTAAGTGTACCTCATCACCCAGCCAACCCCCACACCTTTGGAAACCAGGGTTCGGGTCCATGTGTATGGAGTTTGCATGTTTTCCCCGTGTCTTCCTCCGGTTTCCTCCAGGTCCTCAGGCCCCCCGTATTTGATAACCCATGTGGTGAGCAGTTACAGTGTCGGCATTCACCTGATGGAGAGAGAGGGGGAAAGTATTAGCACTCTCTCATAAGAAGTTTACAAACGAGAGGATGCCATTCGACCATCAAGCTCATTTGGGGAGAATTCAACTAATAACAGTTGTTAAAATCTTATCTAGTTCTGATTTAAAGGAACCCAGAGCTTTAGCTTGCACTACACTAACAGGAAGACTATTCCATACTCCATGCTGTATAAAGAAGTGCTTTCTCAGATTCATTTTAAAATGTTCTCCTGCTAATTTCCACGTATGGCCACGAGTTGGCTGAACAGCATCCAGACCTGTTAGAATCTTATATACCTGGATCATGTCCCCCCTTAGTCTCCTTTGCTCGAGGCTGAACAGATTCAGCTCAGCTAACCTCTCCTCATAAGACATTCCTCTAAGACCAGGAATCATTCTTGTATCCCTACATTGAACCCTTTCCAAGGCAGCAATGTCCTCACTCTTGTCTGATCTTTTTCGTGAATTAAATCTGCTTCACTCCACTGTTGAGATTCCGTGACAGGCATTATGGTTACCTAAGTGATGACTTTGAGCGAAAAAAGACGATGGATGCGAGATGCAATAAAATCGCCCCCCTTTTAGACCCGGTCTGCAAGTATGACGTGTCATGAATTCTGATGGTCAGACGGTTTCGTTTTTTGGAGTCAGTTTCCCAGAACCACGTAGGGTTTCGGTGAACATCAGGGAGGGGGGGGCACGTTGGCCGGGAAGCCAGTCTGCTGCGGGGCTGACACAGCGGCTCATGGTGACAGCAAGCTGATCTGCCTCTTTATGTTTGTGGGGGGAGGCTGGAAAACCCAGACCGATCCGACGCATGCAAGAGGAAAACGTGTAAAACTCCACACTCACAAAGACACAGAGGAAAATATTAAAATATCTTCCCCCCTGTCTCTCTATTAAAATGAATGGCACTGAAGTGCAGTGCGGCCGCCGTTTATGCTGTGCAGAACCTCCTGTCATGTTGATATTCTTCCTGCCATGTATACTTTATTCCCGGAAGGGCTCCTTCTTCGAGAGCCGAGCTCGTTAACAGCGTAACGCGTGTTTCCTGCAGGAACTACCACGTGTTTTACTACTTGCTGGCAGGAGCGAGTGAGGAAGAGAGGGCCATGTTCCACCTGCAGAAGCCAGAGGAGTACCACTACCTCAACCAGGTGGGTGCACAGCCGCACTGGCACGCTCACTGGATTCCAGTGCTGATACCCACAGCAGAGGGCACTGCAGTTCATACGAAAAGTTACTTCTGTGATAGTCTGTCGAACTTGTGCTGTTTTTGTGAAATCTGTGTTCAGACAACATGTGTGAATATATCTGTCTGTGATGTATAATACACTCTTTCTGTAATCTCTGCTTGTACTTCTAACTTGTCCTGGGAATCTGCGTTTTTAATCTGCAGTAGCTCTACGCTCCTGCTCCCAGAGGCTTGTGGGAGGCAGGCATGCTGCTCTCTCACCTTGCAAACAGGAAAACGGAAATGGGGGCCATTGTTCAGCAGCCCTAGGACCTTCTGCTTGATTGTAAACTGAGGCACACCACCCACACTCCACACTCACTCCAGCATAACGATTTACAGCAGCCCCATGTGGCCCCGCCTGTCATGCAGGCTGACCACGTGACACCAGGCGCAGCCAATGAACCTCGGCGCTGCAACCATGTGCCACCGGGCACAGCCAATAATCCTCACTGCCACAACCATGTGACCTGGCTGAAGTGCAGGTTTTAGTGATGATATCATAGGGGGTGCAGAATTGTATCTTAGTAGATAACAGTCACGAGAAATGTTCCAGTACAGGAGAGAAGTTGGTTTCTGTATTTTTTTTAAACAGATATTTCTGGCCGCACTCTAACTTTAATCCTAATGTGGTTTGCAAGTGTGCTCCACTTTCTGTTGGTACAGTGTTCATGTGTCTCGTGTCCTTATGGCCGTTTAGACCTAATGAAGACCTCATGCAATCATCCTGCCACGTGTAATTTCACCGTCCATCCTGAATGTGACTTGGCTTATTGTTCTCCTTTATTTGAGTCTTGCCATGAAGGTCGTCTCAGCCCTCTGTATTGAGCTTGCGAGGTGTGGACACATGCAGGGCCAGGCTGGCTGTCTGTCTGAATTCTCCTTGGCCCCCCCCCCCCCCCCC